AAGACTTCTTAAAGAGTTTTTTGGATGCCCAGATAATAAAGAATTACAGTAATCCAGTCTAGACGTGATAAATGCATGAATCAGTTTTTCTGCATCATTTTTGGACAAAATGTTACTAGTTTTACTGATATTACGAAGGTGGAAGAAGGTGGTCCTGGTAACATTTTTAATGTGGGGGTTAAAAGACATGTCCTGATCAAAAATAACACCAAGTTTCTTTACATTAGAACTGGAGGCCAGATTAATGCATCCAGAGAAGCTGAAAGGCTACAAAGTTGATCCCTAAGATGTTCAGGTCCAARAACCAGAACCTCTGTCTTATCTGAGTTTAGAAGCAGAAAGTTAAGAGTCATCCATGTTTTTATGTCTTTGAGACAAGATTGTAGTTTAAGTAACTGGTTGGATTCATCAGGTTTCATGGATAAATATAACTATCATCAGAATAACAATGGAAATTTATCCCATGCTGTTTGATAACTTTACCTAATGGAAACATATATAAACCTAAGCCTAATATAGGATTTTTCAAAAATTAAAGTCTTCAGTCTAATATTGAAAGGAGACAGAAACAATTCATCTGAGCCTCGTATTACTCTGTTCAGGCCCTGCTAGTTGCCCATTAATCAAGCTGATGCACAGTGGTGCAAACTATCTACGCAAAGGATCCCTGAACCTCCTCCCTAAGTTCATGAGAACATGTTCTAATGCGCATGTGTTGCGTCAGACAAAATGTTTTCAGCTGGCCTGATGGTTGCCTGCTCAGACAGATGGTGTGGAGAGAACAGGTCCGGACTGTTAATGATCTTGCTTGCCRTCTTCACCTGATTCTGAATTTGGGTTTTTTGATTTAACTGTGAGGCTTCCAAACGGTCCAGTAATGCCATATCTCAGAACAGACTCGACGGTTGCCCTGTAAAAAAAATATAAAATCATTTTGGAAACTGCAAAACAAACAGTTGTCTAAGAAAATGAAGACCCTGGTGGGCCTGACACATGCCACATGTGTGCGCCAATTAAGAGCACTATCTATGGGCACACCTATATATTTAAAGGATGTGGTGTGTTTGATGGAACAGCCATGTATGGCTAAAGGACTCCAGTCACTGACTGATTTAGGGTCCAGAAATAGTTTTTGAAGTTTTAATCTGTAGTTTGAGAGTGGCACCAAACTACAAACTTATATTCAGCCACWTTATGACTCAAAATAACTGTATCATCTGAAAATGTTATTATACACTCACCGGCCACTTTATTAGGTACACCACGCTAGTAACGGTTTTGTGGTCATAAAGGGATGGACATGGTCAGCAACAATACTCAGGT